CTGAATGACTTCATTGGATCGACCAGTTGCTTCATTAAGAGAAGTTAACATTCTTTTAAGATTTCTGTCCATTGACTTTTCAGATTAACTATACAGTCTGCATGACCATGACTATCTACGGCTAAGCCCCTGCTTTAGTCTTAGTTGTTTGTCCTAGTTAAAAGCTTCGAGCACAAGCATAAATATAAATAGATTTCAAATCCTGATATTGGGCTGCAGAGGAATGAATCTGTTTAGCTCTACAGTCCCGAAGCCACTAGTGCAGGTATGGCTCACTTTATGAGCCGACTGTGACTGGGAATCCCCGGGAGGTGATTCACAAATGTCTGAGATTTCTTTCATCTGGATTAGATTTGTATTGTTCTTTAAAAACCACAGAGTATATATACAGGATTCCCTGTTTTTAAGACTGCACCTCACAATGTGCCAGAAATGCCTCCCCACTGCTGTGATAAGGCCGGGACTGTGCTGTAGGAGGGGCCATCTTTCCAATGAGACTTTAAACCAAGGTTACCTGACGGCCTAGTCATTACGAACACGATGACAGGGGTGTTAACCCCAGTGTCCCGGCAGAAGTCCACTCTGGGTTCGTACACTCTGGTCTGGTCAGTGAATTCTGAACTGGATCTCGTCCCAGTAATGTACCAAAAACGCAGAGTGCTGAGGTGGAATCGAGATTATTAAGCCAAACCTTGACTTCCCGGGCACCTGCGGGCCCTAAGTGATATCACTGAGAGAAGCACAGCATCTTCAGTAGGTGCTGACTCTCCAGCCAGTTGCTGTGGAGTTTGCAACACGTCAAATGACCGAAACCTCTGTAGATAAGCGTGTCAGCTCCGGGTTCTGGGTTCGACTCCAGCTGGGTGAGGACCTGCTCTGAAGAGTGTCTTGTCCTGCTGGTTTTCTTCAGGTGCTTCTGATCCTTGTCATTTTGTAGGAAGTCTGGTTAAGCGAACTGGGGTCTCTAAATTGTCCCTGTGAGCTGGTGTGTGGGAGTGCGTGCCATACTAGTGTAATCCAGGGTCATGCCCAGTGTGGAACCAGGAATAATCAAAATGCAGTGGGGGAAAAAGTCATTACCGATTATGTTTCTTAAAATGGCTACCATACAGCTCCAAAACATGAGAAGGAATGACGCGTGTGAAGCTCTGCGTTGTTGCGTCTCTCGCAGGCCCAGCGGAAGCAGCTGTGGGTGGCCTTGATCGAGAAGGCCCTGGCGAAGCTGCACGGCTCCTACTTCGCCCTGCAGGCCGGCCGCGCTATCGAGGGCCTCGCCACGCTGACCGGGGCGCCCTGCGACAGCCTCATGCTGCAGGTCAGCTCCACCAACCCCCGCGAGGAGCCCATCGACACCGACCTCATCTGGGCCAAGATGCTCAGCTCCAAGGAGGCAGGGTGAGCCGTGCAAGGGACGGGCCGGGTGGACGGAGCTTGGGGGGAGGAGAGCATAGGAATGAACTCTTTCAAGCTTCTGTTGGGGCACTGTAGTGGGGGCAGTCTCTGTGGCGATGCTGCATAATAGCTTCAAGGCCCTTCATGACTCCTAAACAAGACATTATAATCAGTGCACATTGCTTTACAGGGACATATTCCATCGCATCATAGCAGGCACCGTGAATGATGCAAAAACAAATGTCTTGACTGCTTCTGCACGTGCACTGCCAGTTGCACGTGTTTCTGGAAAGCACTGTGCATGTGATTAGAATGGGTTGGGCGGCGGGTCTGAAGGCTTTATGCAGCAACATTCAAGCAAAGCGACTTGAGACTTGGTTGGGTTCGGGTTCGAGACCCTACCGCAGACACTGCTCTTGTACCTTTGAGTGAGGGTCTTTGCCCCAGTTGCTCCAGTCCACCTGTTGTTGAAGGTTTTTTTCAAGAAATGGCTGGATGTGATCCTCAGATCAAAAGCTGCTGTAGCTAGGTGTCCTCTTATCTTGTTTAACTGTTCGTCTGGTGTCTTGTTGGTCTACTTACGTCGGAGAACCATATGCCGGAATATACAGTATCTGAAAAACCAACATTGAAAACCCAAACCCAGGGCGCCTTGACTAACGAGCTCTCTCGGGCTCAGATCCTGGACGACCGGTAGCCGGAGAAGTCTGGTTTCAAACTTCAGTGAGCAGCATGAGAGAAAAGAGGAATTAACAGAATATTGTTGATTTTTTTTTTTTGTGGACGGTATCTACAAAGATGAAGGCCAGTTGGCTTCGGCGGGGCTCTCGCAGTGTGCGCGGGAGTCAGTTTTGTTTATCCGATGGCCCCAGCCGCCACGGAGGTTGTGTGGACGCAGCTGCGCTTCCTTGATTCCTCGGCAATCAATGCTTCTTCAGAGACGCGATCGCCTTCTGACAACGATGGCCTTAACAGAGAGCCAGGGGCACAGATTTCCATGATGCTCGGCAAAACGTCTGCAGGACCTGAAAGAGCTGCGGCGCACTTTTCTTTCAAGTTCATGTCATTTCATATTTTAACATTTGTTTCAAAAATTGAACTTCTGATTTTTTCCTTCTGACTTCCAGCTTGGTGGTTAGAGTTCACCGGTTGCTCTATCCCTCTCGATCCTTATTTGTTTTGTGTTCGTATTTCTTGAGGGAAGACGTCTTTACCCCCCCGCCCGTCCAATCAGAGACGTGATCCAGATTAACAAGTAAAACGAATGGGTATTTTTTCTTTGTGAACTGTATTGAACTCTGTGTCATTTTCTACTTTTCAGTTCTGTTTACTCAAGAGGGATACATAGATACACAAAGAGGGATCAGTGACTTGTTAATAAGCCTGTTAAGTTGTTTGGGGAATGATGGTTGTTTTGCAGGTTTCTGCCAGGGATCATTTTGTTAAAGAAAATGTGGGGTGTGGGAGTCTTGATTTTCCTAAGCTCCATCGAAGGAACATCTTTGATCGTCACAGATTCATTTCTCTTGACAATTAATCTCTCACAGCAGATACTGGGCCAGGTCAAAATGCAGAGTATTTAATGCCCTTATGTGGAGTTTCAAGGCTTTAGTTTGATTCTAAATCCTTTAAAACCACAACTTCAGTGTGAGTTTTGGAGATCATGGGTCAAAAGTTTTGAACACCCGCAAGTTTTCATAGGAACGTCCAGTTTTCCTTGCTTGTGTCTGTAAATTGTATGTGTTCATTTTTTAAGGAAGCCTGTGATGATCAGGTTGGAATTTATGGTTCAGTTTCCCTGCAAATCAAGTTTTAGGGTACTTAAGCTTTTTCAGCACATAAACGATGGGGATGGAGACATTTGTGTAGCGAGTGTCTGAGGTCTTACTGTTCGCCCTGTGTGCCTGCCAGGTTCCTGATGGGCGCTTCCTGTGGAGGGGGCAACATGAAGGTGGACGACACCGTGTACGAGAGCCTGGGTCTGCGGCCACGGCACGCCTACTCCATCCTGGACGTGCGGGACGTGCAGGGGTACAGGTGAGGAGGGCGCTGGCTGGCACGGGGCGCCAGGTGTTGCCAGTGGGATTGGAAACTGCTGCAGTCCGAGGAGGAGGGGCAGGGAAACGGCTTGTCCATCTCATTTCAGCTCCGGTATTCATCTCAGCTGGTCTTTGAGAATTTAAGATTTGAGAAGTCTTCTGCTGCAAGCTTCAAGTGATGAATTAAGTGTGAATTGAGCTATTAAAGTACTGCTCTGGGCCGAAGTCTTGCTATGAAATGAACTAAAAGATCAAGGGTTTTTCTGCTGCTGATATCCAGTGTTTTTCAAATGGATTCAGTGGGGGTTTTTTCCAAAGGCTTAGGAGAGAGAGAACAGTGCACAGCTTTTTATAAGATTTGTCTCCTAAATTGTTCTGGTATATTATTGGAATGTTTGAGGCTTTTTTTTTACATTTTTACAGTAATAAGGCTTAACTGTGGGTCAGTTCTGGACGTCTGTTGACTAATATGTAGCAGTTGAAGGTAAATTTCCCTCTCTCAGGGTAGGTTGTGTGATGTTTAGGTCAGACCCAACAGGCCTACTTCATCCCCAGCCTCTCCTATTCCCCCAGGCTGCTCCGGCTGCGCAACCCCTGGGGCAGGTTCTCCTGGAACGGGAGCTGGTCTGACGAGTGGCCTGACTGGCCCCAGCACCTGCGGCACGAGCTGATGGCCCACGGCAGCAGCGAGGGCGTCTTCTGGATGGAGTACGGAGATTTCATCAAGTGAGTGACCACGAGCATCACCAGCCTGACTGTCAGCAAGACGGGCCGAAAAAGAGTTAGTGAAGGCAAACACAGCAGCACCCAAGTCAAGGGCATCGTCCTGAGCTTTGCAGATTCTGCAACAGGCAACAGAGCGTCCTTCTGATACACGTTCTGCTATATTTTGTGTTGCAAGTTTCACAGAACCCACAACAAAGGCAGTAATTGAAGGAGGGATAGTACTAGTCACAGATGTCACGGTTACAGTATATAACAAAGCTGAAGTACCCCCGATGACTCAAGCTCCCCAAAACCCAGTGATTCTCTGACAGCTTCTTACCACTGTCTAGGGAATCCTGACCAGAGCTAGCTTGTGACCAAGCCCGGTCTAGGAAATGCATTATCAAGCCTGTGATCTGAACTAACACCCTGTGCTGCTGGAGCCACTCAAGAGCCCTCCAGAGTCACCACTTAATGCATTTTCTTTATAGTCCCTGTCAGCTTCCATCATTCACCCTTAGAGTCCAATGCACTGTGCTGCTCGCTCACTGCTTCCAGCAGAATTATCATCAGGTGTGGAAAGTTACAGGCACTTCAGAGCCCACTGCCGCAACAGTCATGATGCTGCATTGTGTGTGGTCGAAAGATTAACAGACCACATTGTTTTACCAGGCAAGCACTCAAAGGACCCTGTTTTCTCAAGCATTTGTTCTCCTTTTCTCATGGCTTTCGGTCCCTCAGAAAATTCAGAACAGACCTCCCGCTCAGCTTCTTAAAAAGACAGAAAAATCAGTAACGCTTCTTAGTCATTGCGCTCCTTTGTTGTGATGTCAAATGACACACAGTTACGCTTTTCTTAGCAAAGGAAAAAGTCTTCTGCATCTGAGTAACACACTTGTACGTAGGTCGTTTGGGGTCTTTGTTACCTCAGACGTTTATCAAAGAGTCTCATGCCTGTTGTTATGTGCGCCAAAAATTGCTTTTCAGAAAGCCTTGCTGTTCATTTTTAATAAGGGAATGTTCATATTCTGTTAGGTGGGCTGCAGGGCAGTCCTCTCTCACCCGTTATGC